CAGGATGGGTGGCATTGGGGAGAAACAAGCAACAGAGCAGATGTGGACACTTGGAGTCCCTACTCGTGGGACTTTGGGGAAAAACAGGAAGTGTGGACAGAAGCCTTCATGGAAACTCATCATTCCTTCATTCAGGGTTCTGAGTCCAGTGTCATCGTCCCCACCCACCTCTCCCCCCCTCCCTTCAGGAAGGCTGTGCAACTACCATGACTCCCAGTTTTACCTGTGTGTTGTGGTTCTCTGAGTTGTCCCCAGATGTCACCCCCTTGTTTTCTATTCTAGAGTTTCATAATGAAGCAAAGCGACTGAACATCGCAGAGCTCGATGCTGCCTCACACACTGTAGCATCTTAATAAATCCTTGTTGATTGATCGGCAGTCTCGAATGTCAGGTCTCCCTGTATTGATAGCATTTGTTGTGTATACATGCTAGCTGCTGGGAGATACAACCAGTACAGAAATATTGTACTCACTGCATGGAAATAATGTAGTTCAAAGAGTTTAAGTTCTAAGAGGCAAGCCAAACACACGTGGGCATTGTAACTATCACAACAGTGATGAAACAACCAACAGCGCGTTAAAACCTCAGGGAAGGTGGCAGGGGGCAGGAGGCAGGAGCAGAGGAAAGGAAATAGCGATCCCTTACTTGGCGCCGCCTCCCTTCCTCACCTGCGACTTGCCAGACTGGATGAAAACCCAGAAAAGGTAGTACAACCCAAAGGTACAGGGGGCAGGCTACATCCCACACCCCAGGGCCTTTTCTAACAAACTCGGTGCTCACAGTACCAGACTGTCCTGCACAAGGCTCCTCCTTTGTCATGGTTCATGCTGGTTCCCTACTGCAGCCTGTCCTCTGCCCCTTCCTCCAGCCTCACCCAGCTGGAGGACACTTACGCATGTTGTCTGAAGTCACCCGTCCAGTGTGCGCAAAGGCTTTCCAGACACTGCCCTCAGGTAGACTCCATGCTGCATTGGTCCCTCAGGGAACCCTATGCATTCTGATTCTACCTCCATTAGTTCCCTGAGTATGCACTTGGGTATGTATTTGCCCTCCCCTGGAACCCTCAGCATGCAGGCTTCCTGAGGGCAGGGCAGGGCTCTTAACTGTCTCTGTACCCTCAGTTGCCGCATGACTCCTGGTAATCAGTAGGTGCCAGCTGGATCATAATGGGGTGGATGAGCAGTCAGTGTGGGATTTTAAGCATGCCAGCTTAGAGATGAAGAATCAGGTGGCTGTCCTTACCCTCCCAGCCCAATTGCCTTCATGATGCAAGGATAAGCTGGCAGGACTAGATAGAGTTAGGGTGTGACTTCTGCCAATCCTACATTAGATGACAGAGAATTCTAGATTCCAAGAAATTCCTTAACAATTTCCAACTATATGATCCTTTAAAAGAATTATTTTAGGAGCAGCAGGTGGTGTAATGGTTACATGCTGGACTCCCACGTAGTTGATTGAGGTTTGATTCCTGGACCCAGGTGCTTAAAACTCACACTGGGTGCATGTGCATGCATGCCCAAAATCCTGAGAGGAGAATGGAGGAGAAGGGATTGTGGCATGGCCATCCCCCCGGAGGGGGGTGGAGGAGATTTCTCACTTTCCATCTCTCTATCTCTCATCCCAATAACAAAAATCTCTCTCTGTAAAGAAAATATTATTTTTTTCTCCCATGAGGGGGCAAGTCAGAGGGAGAGAGAGAGAGAGAGAGTGAGCTAGGTACCCCAGCAAGGTCTTTAAACCATGATTTTGCCCCAGCCTCAGCCAGCCTGGGTCATGAGCACATGTGTACCCAGTGTGGTCTCTGAATACAAACCTGCAACCTTCCTATGTGGGTTGGCCTCACAGGAGCATATGGTGTGACCACCCTACCACCATCTGGCCCCTGGCTGCTCCTGTAGCAGGCATAAGGAGCAGGTAGAATAGAGTAATAGTCTGAAGTTCTGCCCCATCTCCCCTGACCACCTTCTCTTCCATCCACACAGCCTACCCCTGCGATTTTGGGTCAACATGATCAAGAACCCGCAGTTTGTGTTCGACATCCATAAGAACAGCATTACGGATGCCTGCCTCTCTGTGGTAGCCCAGACCTTCATGGATTCCTGCTCCACGTCGGAGCACCGACTGGGCAAAGACTCACCCTCCAACAAGCTGCTCTATGCCAAGGACATCCCTAGCTACAAGAACTGGGTGGAGAGGTGAGTGTGAACCCAGGAGCCAATAAGGGCCCCTTACTGGAGCAAGTGACTTTGCCTGCCAAGAGCTCCCCTCCTCAAAAACAGGCTGGCACTTCTAAGCTGGTCATGCCCAAAGCCTGATCCTATAGCTGCAACCCACACCCCCATGTCCCTAGGGGTGGGGTCCTCTGAAATAGGAACTGGGAAACTTGCCCTGAGGTTGCTGCCATGTTCTGCTTCCTTGCATGGCAGGCTCTGGGTCTTAGTGGCTGAAATGCCTTCAAGGCCCAGGGAGGAGACATGGTCCCTTGCACTAAGCCCCTGCGGCATAAACAAATGAATAAGTACATGTGTATATACACATGTACACACATACTATAATCAGAAGACTCCAAGTACCAAATAATGTCTTGCCACAAAAAGGCTGGAGGCCTCCTGTCTGGCTGGCAGTTCTCCCAGCATTCTGTGCAAATGGTATCATCCCCCTCTGAACAGCCTCTCATGTGACTCCAGCTCTTGACAACAAGCCCTCACAGCCCTGGGTCTTGCAGCATTTTATGGTCATCGTGCTCCTGATCTAGTCGCCATCTCTCATAGTGTTCCCTTGGTAGAAGGTCCAACTCTTAGCCTTGGAGCTGGCCTGTTAGTGCAGCACTGACTCATGGTGAGAGTATGTTAGTAGTGGGTCTGAGCTGCATTGGCTCTTCGTACCAAGCACCTGGGCTAAGCACCTCACTGAAGCTTTCATTATTTATCCATCAGAGCAGTGAATAATGAATATATGTGGGGCCTTCAAAAAGCTTGTGGAAAAATGAAATTAAGGTATTTGGGTGCAAAAAATTATGAAATTCATTCATTGTTTTTTTTTTCCAATATGCATTTTCTGCAAACTTTTTAAAGATATCTTATAAGAGGACAGAACTTAGAACCTCCTCTTATGTCCATGAAGAAATATACATGCGGCATGTCCAAGTAATCAGTCCAAGGTGACGTAAGTAGCCAAGGTGAAACTAGACACTAAGCCCCTTAGTTGACTCCCAAATCTCTTTTCTGTTTGTGATACTTTTAGACAGGGCCTTTGAAAAACCATATGTGTCCATTATGTGGATTAAGGGAGATGTCCCTTCCTATAAAAGAATGTGGTCCCATTCCAGGCTTCGAAACTTGCTGAATGATGGACAGTTGTCAGCCCCAGTTCACTCTCTTGTCGGAGTACCTTTGTACAGTGAAGAGCCTTCACAACGCTGCATAGCATTTGTGCTTTCGGACTCCCTTCCTCTTTATACCAAGTATCTTGAACATAGGAAACCTAGATGGAAGCCCAGATTTGGTGCCATTTTGCAGAGTAAAGAGGCCAGAAATTGTCCTCGACTTGGCGACTGAGGACAGAATGTACAGTATCGTTTTACCCACAGAGATATAGTCTCCGTCTTTCTATGTGAAAACTGCCTTCTCTTGTACAGAGGGAAAAACTAGGAGGGTGGAATCTTGGCCATCTTTTTAAAGTAGTTCCACTAACAGGGTTTAGTATTGAATTCCTTCTCCCTTCTGTTCTCTGATATCTCACCCTCCCTTCCCACTGGGGCACGTGGTGGTCTGCCACCTTGGCTGTCGAAGACAGAGCTCATCCTTTTGTCTTCCTGTCTGGTCATGTCTGAGTTACCAAGTGAGGATTTCACCTCTGTCCATGCAGAGAGTGGCTCAAGCCCTTCTGGGTGGGCAGCCAACTCCTCAGCAAAGTGAGAGGGGAAAGAGATGACCCTGGGCTCCTGGTTATTCCTGCCTGACAGTGTCACTGTGTTAGAGACCTAGGCAGGGAGGTAGGACCCAGGGACCTACCTGAAACATCTGTGGGCAGATGTTTAGGGGGCACTCCTCCAGAACACAGCTGGCTAGTTAGAGCAGAGACTAATTCATAAGCCAGGCTAATGGTCTCCCTTTCGCTGGGTGCTAAATGAGTTTTGTGCCACACAAGTGCTTCAGGTCACGAGCAACCCCAGTCCCTTTGGTTATTTTTAGGAGTGGTTTGATGCTTTCTATTTCTTATCCCACTAGTTTCTTAGCAACCACTGGCACTCTCAGAAAAGTGATCTTTTGCTTGTTTGAGGTCCCAAATCCTTTCTCCTTTCATTCTGGGGTGAGGGCACACCAGTGGAGGGATGGAGAAAACAGCATGAATGGGTCTGGAGGTGAAGCCCAGAGTCTACTCCCACTCCCCACAGAGGCAACCTCCAAGCAAAGGCTGACTCCCTGGGGGAGGCGGGAAATTGAAGTCTGGCAGGACAGAACTCACTCAGTGTCCATGGCAAGCCTGATTTTTTATCTCCCCCTTCCAAAGCAGTTCAGAAGGATGATAGTACAGTGCCTTCTTCTTGTGAAGGGCTTGCTGGCTACTAGATTCTCTGCCCTACGGCTGTGAGGATGTGGATGGCCCTCTGCCAGGCCTCAGACTCAGTGACTTACTGCTGCGGAGTCTTTATCTAACCATCCTTTCACCTGTCTTCCCTACTTGTCCTCTCATCCTACAATCTGTTCTCCTAGCAGTTTTCCTATCCATCTTCCTGCCTTCCTTCCACCCATCCTTTCCCTTGTCCTCCCACTTGTCCTCCAACACATCCTTTCATTTATTCTCCTACCCATTCTCCCGTCTACCCTCCCACTCATCCTTCCATCCAACCTCCATCCATTCTTCTATCCAACCGGCCATCTGTCCTCCTGCCTGCCATCTTGCTTGTCCTGCTCATCCTCGCATCTCTTTTTTGCCACCAAATACCTTGTATTGCTAGTGGTTTGTGGCCCCATTGCAGACTCTCAGTCTTCACTGACTCTATTGGGCTTTTGTTTGTGACAAAATCTAGAAAAAGGGAGGAGAGTCTCATGGTTCTTTATTAACAACTGCTTCACTCATCTTACAGAGCAGACCTCAATAGTGTTGTCACCGTGAACTGGTGGGTCACAATCAGTTGTAATTTCTATCCTATTACTAGTAGCAGTAAAATTGCACAATTCGGTAGGGATTTCCTCTGATTTTTAACTTGGAAGAGCTTCAAGGTTATCCCTATAGCAACACTGGCCTGTCAGTAGGCTTTCCCATATGGGGATTGAATGGAGTAGGGTCACAGTTAACCCACTGGGGACTGGGAGGTGCTACACATTTGAATGCCATCTACCCCATGTTGTAACATGAAAAAGGTGCAGAATGTTAAATATTTAAATATGTTTCCTAAGGAAACTATTCATTTAAACATGTAGAAGACAGCTCACCCTGGGGACAATATTAGAGGAGAGGTATAGACATTTCATTGCCATATTTGTCAACCCATGGTCAAATATTATGATGGCCATCATGGCTGTATTAGACTGTCCTTCCCTTGCTGCTCTCATGGTCAAGGAGGACACACAGGTGGATTTCTGCAGGTCCCGCAGTGGTAATGGCTGCAATCTGAGGAGGGAGCTCCTGATTCTACTAGGCCTGGAGAGATTTGCCAATGATTTTCAGAGACTCAGGGGAAAAGTTCTTAGCAGATATGTGATTATCAAGTTCTATGTTGAAAATGACATGTCTGGTAGTATCCTTGAGGCATGTACACCTTGGAAAATATATTGAGGGCCAGCAGGTGGTATGGTGGTTAAGGCACTGGACTCTCTCTCACATAGCTAACCATGGTTCGAATCCTGGACTTGGCAGCTTACTTTCTCACTTTTCCTTTCTCTCTCTCTGTCTCTCTCTGGTGAGCACAAGTGCCCTATAGCAAATTTAAAAATAATAGTAATAAAATAAATAATTCTAAAAAACCCCATGCTGAGTGCTATAGAAATGTATAATAATTAAATGTAAAGAACATCATAAAATTTCAAAAATAAAAAAGAAGAAAAATAAAGAAAAGGCTCCATGCAAGACCTTGAAAGACAAATACTGGGGAATTTAGAGTGTCAAGACCTCTGCATCTTGGACCTTGAGGTGTGTGAAAGGATACAACACTCTTTTTCTTCTCAAAGAAAATTCAGGGTGTGGAGACCACCTTCTCACTTGCTAAGCAGCTGTCCTAGAGGCAGAGATAAGGCATCCTCCATTCCATGAAAGCCCACAAGCATAACATTCTGTAGACTGGCCAGCAGTGGAGAATCCAGCTCTCTGGGGCCTTGCTCCTTACAGCAGCCCCTAAGGGTGGATGTTGAGACCACTGGGTGCTGGCACCCTACCTGCAGGAAGCAAATTCAGCAAGGACAGTGGGAAAACACTGGTGGTGGGATCCAGCCCCTCCCCAGATGGTTGAGTTTTAGCCAGGCTTCCTGCCTGCCATGCCATTGCCAGTTCAAGGGTGGTTCTGGGAGACTCCCAGAGCTCTAGTTTTAGCCAGGCTTCCTGCCTGCCATGCCACTGCCGGCTCAAGGGTGGTTCTGGGAGACTCCCAGAACTCCAATCCCTTCTGAATAAGGGCTCCCCTGCAGACCAAAAGCCCAGAGGAGCAAGTTCAAGTACAAGTATGAGGCTCCAGGCTGACCTTTCCTTTCCTCACTACACAGCCAGCTGATGAGAGCACTTGTTTGAAGTCCATTAATGGGACTTAATTGCATTCTTCACAATCAATATAGCCTCCTTGTGACAGAGCCCAGTACAAAGGCCAGCACAAGAGTGAGAAGGAGGCAATTGTGCACACTGCAGAAGGAGGGACATGCAGGGTCATTATGGGAGCAAGGGGGTGCTAGCTAGGGTCTGGGGTTGGGCAGGGCCCAGGAGGGAGCAGGGAGAGGTCAAAGCAGCATCAGGAAAGCTCTGCAGAGAGAATGGGACCACCTACCACCACAGTTGGAGTGGAGAACTGGAGGGAATGTCTGCAAGACTCCAAGCCTCAACCCCCATCTAGGGCATTGAGCTGTCCATGGTCCCCAACCTCATTTGACTTAGAACTTGGCAAAGATGAGGTGGTGTAGTTTACCCACTTGTGGGCTAGTGTGAAGCCACAGATGCACACAGTCCAATCCAGCCTGCTCAATGCAAAGGCAACTTAGGAGAGTCAGGAGCTGCTCAGTGTAAACCTGACCTCCCTGGTAGAGAGAGTGACACAGGGCATGCCCTGCGTCCCTTCAGATGAAAGGGACACAGGGCATGCCCTGCTCTACACTTCCTCTCAACCCCCAACCCCATCTAAGCCTCTCTAGGCCTCAGTTTCTCTCATATCCACACACATCCTTTCTAAACATTCTTGTGGCACAGATGGACTGGACTTTGAGTGCCCTACCCAGAGTAAGCCATTGTGAAGGGACGGTGTGCTGGGCATCTGTTGCTTCAGTGGAGATGGGCCCTTAAGCTTTTGCGAGCATTATCCCTAACCTGTACTTTCCTGTACATTGGGGACCATGAAGGCAGCAGTATGAGCTCTGGCACCATCTGCAACAAGCCCAGTAGCACCATCCATCCCCTTGTGAAGGTTTCATGGGCAGATAACAGATATGACAGGAGCTCTTGCTTCTGCTGACAGTTATGTCCTCTCAGTGAGGACCTGGGTTTGTCATCCAGGTCAGTCAGAGGCTCTGACTGGCTACAGGTGACTGAATGTAACTGTCTGGACACAGCTTTGAATCCAGTGATGTTCCCAGACCTGTGTCACTAGGGGCTGGCTATGGTACCAAAAGCGAGCAAGGTATTTCGTCCTTGTGTTTTCCCTGTACAAGCTAAAATAGAAAGGCAACATTTTATTTGACAAACATATCTTGCTTGTAGGCATGGGATCCATGAGGACACAATGATACAAATCTTGGTTGGAGTAGCAAGGTTGGGAGCCCCTGCTAAGTCCCTGGGTCTCCCGCCATAAAATGGAACATTGGCATTTATTGCGTTCCAGAAATAGTGGCAATGAATTGACTCTCTCACTGGAATTTTTACACCTGGAATGTCATTACATTATCCAGATGCCTGTGTGTGAGATTCTGAGGGTGTGTTCTGGGGTGGGTCGAGGACCTTGAAGAGAGGCTCTTCTGAGGATAGAGCAAAGATCTGAAATGAAATGGAGTAGGTACCAAGGGCCCAGAGGGCTCTGGAGAGGGGGGCAGGTGAGTGAAGGATGGCAGTCCAAATGAGGCTGGGCCAGATGGCCTTGTCTGAACCCCTGGGTGATGCTAAGAAAGGCCATCTCATTCACCCCCTTGTTCTTGTTGCCTGTATTGTCAGCATGACCAAGTAGGTGTTCATTCACCTAAGCTGTTGGCATGGTGTCTGGTGTAGCCAGGTTTCTGAGAACCATAGGAATGTCCCTTTAAGCAGCCCCTTCTTTTGCCAGAAAGCAGGCTTTCTCTCTCTCTCTTTGCCTTCCCTGTTTTCCAGACAGACTGAGAGGTCTGCAATCCCAGCTCTCTGTGGCTCAAAGCTCTGGCCACAAATTGAGCCACCATTCCCTTGCAGGCCCTTGAGTTGATGACTGGAGTAGCACAGGGGTGCCTCCTTTGCCAGCCTGCCACCCATCTCCTGGGTGCTGAGGGAGGCAGGTAGAGGTTGGAAAAACGACACTGGATGAACAGATTCTGATCAGAACAATGAGGAATGCAGAAGGACATGAGGCTGGGGTGCAGGTTAGGATTGTCCCGGAGCCTCGGAGAATGTCCCTAAGGTCATCCGATCAAGTGCTGAATTCTCAGAACTCCCAGGCCCATCTCTGTCACCAGCACTTGCACACCCCAAAAGTGAGTGCCTCTCCTTAAGCATGATGTACCAGTGCCTCATTTGCCGTGCCTAGTCCCTACCTTGACGACTGAGCTTCCTATCCTCCCCTGGCTTGCTTTCTCGAGCCCTGCAGCCACAGCGTGGGCTGTGCCAGACCACCTAGGACCTCCTGGGCTTGCCAATGCCTGTCCTTACAGTTTCCTATTTTCTTTTGTGTCACCCCGAGCCTGAAAGTGCAGCGGAGAGGGTGAGAAGTGGCCATCTCCTGGGCACGGGGCCTTTTGCCTCCTCATTAGGAAGCTGTGCAACTCCCCTCTGGTGGGGGAGTTGGGGTTTAGTGCATAAAATGTCAAATTGCAGAAATTAAAAATGTAAATGTTGGCATCTAATTAACCAGTTGACAGCAGTGCACAGCTGCAAGTGACAGTGACTGATTGCCTTCTGCCAGCCTCTCTCCTCAAACAGCACCAGCCCCGCCCCTTGCCCATTTAACCCCCAGACGGGGGGGGGGGGGGGGGGACCCCGGGGGGGA